GTTGCTTAAACCCCATCAGTGCCTCAGGTTTGACCTTAAAACCCCTCAAGTGTCTAAAAGCCTGTTGTGGGGCATGTGATGAAGGACCTTAATTTTCAAAGCATGGAGCATCTCTGTACCTATCTGCTATCTAAGCTGCTTTGGGATCAACACTCCACTGAAGTCCCAAATGGGTAGAGAGGAGGCTGGGTATTCTTAGCAGGGGTGTGTTTGGTATCCTGCTCTTTAAGGGGGAGCCCTGCCTGCAGTCTTCCCCCAAAAAGGCTTGTCTGGTCTCCATTCTGCAGGACCCCCACCACCCAGTCCTGGCCTGGTGTCTGGAGCACTAACTTGTGGCTTCAACATCCTGGTTCCTCTTCAAATGAGGGTTGCTGGGGAAAGGAGGGGATGAGTGTGCCAGTGTCCCAAGCAGAAGAACGGACAGCTCTGCTTCAGCTTTCAGCAGCAGTGGTGGATGGGGAAAGAGGGGCAGTGGGGATGGAAGGAATGTGCCCCGTTCCCATTCTGGACCTGTCCTTGACACCAGCTCTTCTGCCCTTCATTTCTCTTCAGATTTGCCTCACAAAGGATCCTACTCAACAGTTCCCTGACTCTGTAACAGTCTGAGGTGGTTCGTGTTCAGGACTGACACTCAGATTAACATCACTGAGTGTTTGGAATCCCATTCTACGGTGCTGAAGAGCTTGTCTGTTGTACCTCAGTGTTGGTATCTCCTGGCATATCTGGCAGGGGGACAGCCATGCCATGCCAGTTTCTAACCAACCTGATTCTGAGGTTTCATGCACTTCAGGGGACAGACTCACTATTATTTGTGCATATGAGCACCAGCTATACTGCCAGAAATGACACTGAGATCAGATCAGGACACAAGGCTCCTGGCAGGAAGAGTAAGCAGCTTTGAGCACAAGTGGTGTTGTCATCAATCCTTCTTGTGGAAGGCAGAGGCGCAGGCAGGGGCCATACTCTCATGGAAGTAAATGCATGTTGAAGATGGTGGTGCTGATGTGAAGGCTTGGGATTCTTGGACAGTGGACAGATGGGCTGCACATGCACATAACTCCCCTAAGAAAAATGAAGGATATGCCCACTTTGATGGTCATTGATTCTCAACTAGAGTTCTGCAACATACGGGGTGCTGTAAGATTCATTTAAAGGCGATGCTCAATATTAGTACTGTGAGGTGTGCAAATACCTAAACAGCATTTACAAGAAAAAACAGAGATCTGAAATAGGAATCCATAGTTTCAGGAACTTGCTGACTCTGTGTGGTTTTTCTGAATTTTGATAGTGAAGAATTTCTCTATTATCTTTCCATAGTGAAGAAACAAGTGAAATTATTTTTTTAAATGGGGTGCCACTGAAATCAGAAAAATTACGGAGGGTGCCTTGAGTCTAAAATGGTTGAAAACCCTGCTTAACAGTCTAATGCTTTGAGCACTTCCCAGGGAATGGGAGCTGTTTCCTCACCAACTCTCATCCCACAAGGGTGTGAACCTGCATCTCCTACTTCTCACTCCAGTGTTCTTATCACAAGGCCATGGAGTGAGAATGAGAATGTACAAGACCAGGGGCACGTGTTATAAGTGTCATGGGGAGTAAATTATAAAGAAATAAATAGGCAAGCATCTGGAGGAGAAAAACCTGATTTCAGTCTACCAGCATGACTGGCCAAACCAGGCTGATCTCTTTATTAGACTGTGTGGATGAAGGGAATACAGTGGACATAGTCTACTTGGATTTAATAAGGCTTTTCATAAAG